GTGCTTATAAAGATATCGTGAACAGGTCAAACGGGAGACAATTTTGTGAAGAATGGTGGAAGAATTTTTTATCTAAATGCAATTCCGTCTTTGCGTATTGCAGAGTTATCTTCTCCTGGGAGCAGGGATTGATTGTTACGTCATTGGTTTGTGTGAGAAAATTACGTCGTTTTCTCAAAAATTGATGACGTTACTCTCACAAACAAGTGACGTTACAATCAATCCCTGCTCCCAAGAGAAGATAACTCTGCAATACGCAAAGACGGAATAGTATACCTAAAGTGAATACTTATTCATGAGTACCAAACCAATGTCCAATACAAGGTAACATCATTCTGTCAGGTTTCAGGAGGATACCTTCTGGTATATTCCGTCTTTTCGTTTTGCAGTCTCATATCTTCTCTTGTGAGAGGGTATTGTTGTCATGTCATTAGTTTGTGCAAGAAAATTACGTCGTTTTCTCAAAAAATTATGACGTTACTCTCACAAACAATCAATACCTGCTCACAAGAGAAGATAACTCTGCAAAACGAAAAGACGGAATATAGAAGCCTTCTAATGTAAAGTATTTAAGTAAATAAAAAGGGAAGTAACTTCTGAATGCAGGTTCCATAACTGTATCAGTATATTGGTGCCGACTAGTTTCGACCTGCAAAGCAGGCGAAGCAAATATTGATAGTCATGGGTCCTATAGAATTAGGAATTCGATACTCTTCTTTTATCTATTCTAAGTGAATCCTACTAGTAAAAAATCCCATGTTGAACTGCAATATGTTCTACATAATAGTATCATTGTATATTGTAGTACATCAATGGTATATGTGTAGTATATATACCATTTACACTACAGGCGACTCATTATGTAGTTAGTTTGAAACTATTTTATGATACATGAAATAGGACTATATATAGTGCTTACCCTAAAGCTTATTATATAACACAATGGCCTTATCTTCAATACCAAGTATATGTCATAACATTGTTCTAACTTACATGTCCAGGAATGCAAAGAAATACTTTGTTCTTTTGTATTTCATTCATGAATAAACAATTACAAAAGAATCCATTTGATTGTACAAATACACCTAGGACTTATGAAATTGAACTTGGCAATGTCCTTGGGCATGAATTATACAGTGTAATTGTGTTATTATACCTCGGGACAGAAAGTGTAGTATGTAAGCCACAGACTAATTTCCCTCAGAAAATCTGCATTTTTGGGCAACACACAAAACTGGTATGTCAATAGTATTTTATTGGATTACTTATTATATTATGTGCCTTATATTAGAAAACTTTTCTTTTTTAATCTTCATCAACATTTACTTTACATCTTTACACAACATAGAACATGTACACGTTTCCTAACAGATTTATATAAGTTATTTCAACTTGTTTCCGGATCCCATTCCTCTGTACTTTGTACGTTATGTGGTGTCATGCAACTTAATGTGGAATGAAATAAAGTTTATATTAATATGTACAAAATGTAATTAATTTCAATGGCCAATACAAACTGATATTCTATATTAAAAATTGAAGTAAAAGAAAATCATCCAATTTCAACATATTTTCCACTCACAAGAATTCAAACTGCTATAATTAACAACTTTTCATATTAAACAAACTTTCCATATGATATTAAAAAAAGAATCTGTTCAACCTATGAAAAGATATTATTAAAGTATGGACACAAGTAAAAACAATATAAAAACCAGCTTATTTAAAAAATTTATTAATTTTGATTAATTTTCATCATTACTCTAGCTAAATAATTCTATCACTAAATCAGTCAGTAAATTATATATACAAATGTACTATCCATTTCAGGTACATATATAAATTATATCACTAATAATCTGTCCTTAACCTTTCTTGGTTTTGAATTATTTAATTACAGTTATCTATACAATAAGTTAATTGTATCATCATACTAATCATGTAAACATTTGTATGTTTTATTATATCCCTATCAAGATATAGGAACAGCTGTTAACTGTATCAACAAGTGACAAGTATATGAGTGAGAGGCCAGGTAACTGCCAGGTAAGATGTGTTAATTACATTATCCCAACGCAGCTAACCTCGACCAATCAATACACAGTCCAATTATTAACCTCTTGATCAGCTATCAATTCTCCAATCATGCCTCAATTAAGTAGGCACAGTACACAGCAGACCTGACAAGACAAGTATTATACCTGTACGTCCAGCCACCTGAAACTGGGGTCAGGTGTGTAACGACCTACTATAAACTCACTGACGAGACCACAGGTGTATAGCTGAGATAAAGCACTTTAGAGTCATATAAGGTCAGGGTCTCCGGTATTTTTACTCCGTCGGACAGTGATGATAAAAGTTCCGTAGTTTTATTAATACCTACGGCTAAAAAGCACCTTTAATGTACATTTCACTTTCATTTCAAATCTTTTGCTTACTGCCAATTGAATAAGATACATTTAATAATAGTCATCAGTTTAGAAATATGTTATATCAAAGTTTTACTTTATAAACGAACAACATACATTTTAAACGCCTCGCACGAATAATATACATGTTTTGATGGTAATAGTTTGCCATGCACAATTAAAATACATTAACAGTTAAGGAAAGCTTTGATATATACCATTTTTTTTAAACAGTATCTACATTATGATATTGTAAAAAAAAAATGAAATTTTGAAATATACAGGAAATGTAATTGTTTTTCTACATGTATGCATATAATATGAATGACACCAATTACACCGTCCATAATTCCAACAACACCAGACAAAAATCTCGAAATGTTTAGTTATGCTATCACTAAAGTGTTTCAAACCAAGTTCTTTTCAAATTTATTTATTCACATCTATTTATATGACTAAAGTTGCTTTTAGAAGACAGAGCAGATGAACTGTAATGCACCGGCGTTAATGCAGACAAAGTGATATATTGACACATATACATACAGATGTGTGTATGATTAAATATGCACAGTACTAGTGCAATAGCGTTCCAGACTTTGACTCAGATTGACAGACTACAGTAGTAGAACATTACAGAATCTTATAATACCTCGAGTACATAGAGGTATATGTTTACACTGGAAGTTAATCCAGGTATACTGGTACCTGTGTTATAACACAGTAAATGGCACACTAATTTGTCTATACACTTATACCAGACTAGACTTATGTGACCGCAGTGACATGAAAAGTAATACCACTTTATACCACTGCCTTGTACAGATATACCCACAGGGTGATCAGGACTTAGATAAGCTTATGTAATACAGTAGGGTGTCTATATATAGTACCAACAAGCAATTAAGTTTTTAAAAATACTATATAATAATACTACATATTGAAGTCCTATCAGCAGACAGTACATCAATCCCATGTACAGAAGATTAAAAACAAAACATACAAAATAGATTTGTATTATTCCTATGACAGAATTAGACCTGAAAACAAAGATTCACCCCTTTTTCTTGCTTGAGTTATTTACAAGTTGTACGTTAATTTATAAACAACTTTATAGAAAACTAAATTTGCCCCAAAAATGTCTTATTTCATCTCTTTAAAAAGTATTTTGGAAGGCAGAATTGTTTCCCTTAAAAAACTGAGTGATATAAAAAGTTCTGTGGTCAGCAGTTAAAAGGTTGAGAAAAAGGAAACATATATTATTTCCTTTGGCCTAACAGCCATATTAATTGATATGCTGCACATGTAAGGTAAACAAGTTCTTGTACATAAAATTGATATTAATATATTCCACGTGTCATATTTTATTCTAGCTGAAATCTGGGTTTTTTTTCTATCAAACTTGTTTAATCACCTTGATTTATTACTAGTCTGAATATAACTATTAACTGTCTGTAACTTTTTCTTTTCAAACCTAAACTTGATATGTGAATAAATATATGATATACTTTGCATGATAGCAAAGGTATTTTACACCCATAAAGCAATTTTTGTATAATACATGTATATAAATTGTGTACTGTGTAGTAGTGTGTACTGTTAAAATACGAACAACCTGACTTTACATAGGAGGGGGTCATTCAAATTAATATTAAATTCACACAGAAACCTTCACACACATATGTGTGCTGTTGATACTTTTTTGTTAATATATGCTTTTTAATAATCAGATATAGCATAATGGCTAATGGACAAACAAAATGGCCTTCTGTTTTAATTTCTTTCATGTTAATTGACTCAAATATTTACATAATGATTTATATTTATAGGAATGTCATGATTGTAACTTAGGACATTTTAATATAATTTTTAATGGATTTCTTTGAAAATCAATTTCTAAATTTACATCAGTGTGTGTCATGCATATGTCTGTCATCAGATCAACACATACCTACATTATGCTCCGGGCAGCTGTTACCTGCTAGCGCTAGATGTTACCCGAGCTCATTGAAATAAGCACTTTTTTTCTATTTCTACACAAAATTCACTGCAATAAACCATGTAGTAATTTCATGTTGGGTGGTTATGCAGGTCCAAAATGATTAACGTTAAAGTGCTAATTATTACATTTCCTTTCCACAATAAAATAAGTTATCTTTTTTATGTATTAGCTAATTTAATGCTGAATGAAACATCTATTAGGTGCAAGTTTAATATTCCACTCAGCCGTTTAATAGAAAACTTTTTAAGATAACTTTACGGCTCATGATTTCCATGCATCAATCGTCGTTGTATGATCAAATATAAACATGTTCCCGAGATTGTACTCCATATGATAGGCCTAGTCAATAGTTTTCGTTGAAAATGCAAATTACAAACATGTGTTCATTAATCAATAACATGTGCCATCGTCTCATCAAATTTCCAGCAAATATATACGCCCGAAACGCGATGTAAGTAACAATAATGCATCTTGTAGCGTTATTCCGTTTCAATACCGCCCTTCACACAAACGTGACAGACCGACACCGGCTGTTTAATTTCTGTTGATGGATTGCTTAGCCAGAATTTCACACCAAAATACATTTTTCTTACCTTGAAAGATAACTGAATGGGCTCCGAATCATCTAGGAATCGGATCGTGCATTGGTACTCCATTTGAGGATCGCTTTTAACACTTCTTTTCCTAAAAAGTGTCATCTTTCAAATAAGAGCTTCAGGCCCCTCTTTCTGTGAATGTTTTTAATCACCAATGTGTCACATCAACATCTATGCAAGATGGAAGCCCAGTTTGTCACATGACCTCGGCCAAGTTCAAGGCTGTTTGTATCAGGAACACCTCGGGATTTTTCTCCCAATGTAATGTTAAAGACCCGTCCATGCCGTCTGCTGCCAGGTAGTGCATGATTTCTAAATCCTACTTTCAGTTTGTTCATGGATTAACTAGAGTAATTATACTGCATGTATCACCACATAGGTGCGCGGTTAAAAATAGTTTACCTATATGCATGAATGATATAATGAATCATTATCTATCCGATCTGTTAGATTTTTAGAGTCTAAAACAGCTGTTGTCTCTCACGTTGTATTAACGTGTTACCGGTGAAGACGACTGATAGACATTGGTTGGTCGTAGAAGACTGGTTATGTTCCTTCAGTTCGTATAGTGTTCCTTTTTAAATGGTTACTTTTTATTGTTGTTAATGATTTATATACCGGTATAGATTTTGTTCCAGTTTATTGATTGTTGAAAATTTCGTTTTGGATGTGCTTGGGAAAATGCAAAACAAAATACCTTTGTCATATCAATTAGTATCTATATAGGGATCTTATATTTTAGTATACTGTATGACTGTACATCTTCTATCTCCCACATACTCTTTCTTTTTCAACATCCTTCATAATGGGGCCCATTCTTCATGATGTTGCGAGAATGTTACTTGTTTATTCTGAACTCCTTTCACCCCTAAGTAACTTTAATAAACCGTACCATGCATTGATCTGGATGAGTCTATTATGGTCCACAGTGTTGAAAGGGTTAAAGTGTGTAATTAATTATGATATGTAATGGTATCTTTGAAGTAACCGTAACTCTGATGTTGTTGGGAATCTCATTTCATTGGCACTTCCCTCACTTGACCCTTCCCCCCTTCTTCCTGCAGTTACTCAGATTGTGTCATTAGACACAAGACCAGTAATAGATCTTTACTGGCCAAATATAGCCAGGGACCAGACTGCTCAGTTGGTTAGGGCATGCATCTGTCTAGAGTGTGAGGGTCCCTGGTTCGAATCCCAGTCTTAAAGTTATAACTTTCATTCTTATTACTTTGTGCCTTTGATCTAGATCAACCTGTATACAAACTGTACACACTTGGCAAGGGTCAATTCCTTATCCTACCTGACCCTGGATTGTTCTTAACTTTGTCTTTGGAGGCAATGATTAGAAATAGAAGGGAGTGAGTGAGTGGACAATCAAGAATTTAGAGTTTGGGCTCAAATTCCATTTTTGCTGTTACATCTTATTTCAGACATAAAAGTCTGATGACGTAACTTTAGATTAGTAAAATGAAGTGGGATATAGAGGATCCCAAAAGAGTCATGATTGGTTATCATGTTTATCTAACTCGAGTTAGTTCTTTTTCAAATTGTAAAATTTTAGGCACCAGTTTTACCGAGTGCCTTTTACAATTTTAAAATTAACTAATGAGAGTAAGATAAACATGATAACCAACCATCACGTGTTAGGGGACCTTTTTCTCCCATAACGTTCATATTTTATCAAGAAAGTCATATTCGCGAAGCTTTGTTATGTGACATCATAAGTAAAAAATTGACCAATGAAATCACGTCCAGGGTGTTACCCACTAGTGGGTAACCCAAAATGTTTACCAACTCCTAGCAGGTTTATCCAATGAATCAGGAGGGAGGAAACCTATAGTGGTTGTGGGAGAAACAAAATGATGAACCTGGACTCGGGATTTTGAAGGAATTAAGGCTCTAGTCAAAATATTATCAATATCTTTGTTTTTTTAGTTACAAATCAAAATGTGATTTTACACACTGTGGTACATGTGTACATGTACATATTGTAGATATGGAATATTTTACAAAATTTTATTAGATTGATTTCCACAAGAAAAAATCATCTTATTCACATTACAAATTTTGACTCACTGACTCAGTTCAAAGTTCGATGACAATTTCATGATTATTTACATAAGAAACTTTTGAAAAATCAATTACCCAATCTCTAAAACAGATGCTCTACCAACTAATGAGCTGTCTGACTCCAGCAATTGACACATTCATTACCTGTTACATCACTTCTACCTTTTTCAAAAATGTCTTTGATGCCATCAACCGTCTTTATTTGTAATACATTAAAACATACATCAAAGTTTTCAAAAACACGAACAGCTGGTGTACTGAATTCAATAGCCGAAATAACTACTGACTGTTATTAATGCAGTCATTACTTTCAGATGGATTAAAAAAGTGTTCATTTCATGTCACTGGTACTCAATATTTAATTTGAAAATTATAAGCCCTTTCATTATTACCGGTGAAATGGGAGAACCCAAGGTATGTAGTATAGATAATATGTCTTGTACCATCAAGGTCAAATATGGTTATCTGTTTCAATTTAAATCCAGAGTATAATGTCTTTATTGCATATTTGTTTTTATTTTACTGCACAAATGTATAGATCATTTCAGATAGTGTATCACAAATCTTCTTTAGGTGCAGATCATCAGGGGCAAGTTCACAGTAAGAGGTCAAGGTCAAATACTGTATCTGATACCTGTCTGAACCATAATTTCTAGGAAGTGTTTGCGCTAAACTTCACATTGTGCAGACCATGAGACGTCTGAGTAGATAAGATATCCACAATATTGTTGGTGTCTTCTCTTAAGAACTCCCTATGGTGCAGATTAAAGTTTGTTTGAATTGGAACACACAGGGCTGTAAGTCAGGGACCCACAACAGAAGTCTTATTGAACCAAGATGGAAATAGGTCTGGAAATCTAACAATCTGTTCAAATTCTGAGATGTAGTGTTTTACTTTTAAAACATTAAACCTATAAAACTGGGACTGCTGCTGCTGGTTTGGGGGAGGGCCAACTCCAGGGTTAGTCGTCTGTTCTTGGGGGCTCTTCTGAATAGTTCCCTTCAATATGTTTCTTTGGTCCACTGGGACTGCTGCTGCTGGTTCGGGGGAGGGCCAACTCCAGAGTTAGTCATCTGTTCTACGGGGTGTTTTCTGAATGGTTCCCTTCCATATGTTTCTTTGGTCCACTGGGACTGCTGCTGCTGGTTCGGGGGAGTGCCAACTCCAGGGTTAGTCGTCTGTTCTTGGGTGCTCTTCTGAATAGTTCCCTTCAATATGTTTCCTTGGTCCACTGGGACTGCTGCTGCTGGTTCGGGGGAGGGCCAACTCCAGGGTTAGTCGTCTGTTCTTGGGGGTTCTTCTGAATGGTTCCCTTCAATATGTTTCTTTAATCCAAATGTTCCATTTCCCCATAGGTAGAGCCTTTCCAGAAAGCGATCTAGATGACATGCGAAGGACATATTTTAGCTATCCACAGCGCTCTTATTGTACAATCTCCACCATGATGCTTGTCCCTCGACTGCTTTGCAGTTCTTTGTTGGAGATGGTGTTTGGCCAATATAGACCTTGAGAATGCACCAAAAGCACTTGGTCTGTAGTTCCTCCATCTTTTACTTGATGGTGGGAATGGTCTTCCAGAACTCTGATCCTGTCTGTTAAGGAGGCTGAGGACACCAAAAATATTCTTCTCTTCAACACGAAATGTCTGCTTTATATTTCAACATAGTGCATTGGACATGATGTATTTTCTATTTGTTTACCTTGGTTGGGAGACAAAATGGATATTTTTTATGGATCAGAGATCAACACTACTAAGGGCTTGTTCCCTTGATTCAGTGATTTGAAAATTTTCATTCACAACAGAAATATCAGCCATTGCTTTGATATTTCATATACAATGTAAATAAATTAATAATAAAAGGGACATGCCTAGTGAACAAATTGTGGTGTGCTGTGTAATTTGCTTTGAAAAAGAAATGCGATGAGGAATACCAGCCCATTGTACAGGCCTAGTGGACCTTTTGTTTGCATTCTACTATGTATTGCTTAACCATTAACCATTATGTATACTCTAGTAACTCTAAATTGCTTGGATGTTGAAATTGAATGCCTAGTTTGGTTGTGTAGGAGAAAAGCATTGATAACCTTCTAGTTATCTGTGTTGACCTTCTGTATCTATCTGTTATTATTTATAGAAATAAGGTATGTTTAAAATGAGTACTTGTAAAGAGATGTGTAATTTTCAGTGTTGGAGCCATGGCAAGATACAGTATTCATACCCGGTACTACTCAGATAAGTTAAAGTCACACTGAACATTTGTCTTGAAGTTGTTTCCACACCCACATGAGCCATTTCTGAGATATATATTTGTCTGGTGTTTTGTTATGGTTTGTATATTGGTAATCAGGAGACAAAACTTACAAATTATATGGTTCAGTTGTGAAGTAATATCCTGCAAGCTTGGGAGAAAAAAAATTGCTTGCTGTATCTGAATAACAAAAAAGTGTATTTGTATGGAGAGATTAATGTAGTGCCCTTGACAGAATTAGCATCCCCCTATAGAATCAAGGAGCTTTCTCGTGTTTCCTCTGCTTAGACGGTACAAAAAAATAATCTGATTTGTACAATTGCATCATTTTGTAATGTTCATGCTTTAATTTCAGTCCTCTGATTACATTTGAAGATATCAAGATTGATTTGCTGTATGAGATTGAAACATCTGTAATCTTCATATTTTCAGTTGAGTTTTCTTGACTTTTATAAGCCTCTGTTTCCACACCAAGTCTGTAATGTCTAGTCAAGCCAGCTCTTTTTAATGACAGCTATATATTCTGTACTAAGAACAGGTAACAATTGGACAAACACAATTTCAGGGTTTGCGTTGTTGGCATCTCCCATAGCATTCTTACCTGAGATTCAGTATTCAACTGGACACCGTTGATTTCTGAGGATTGTTTTGGGAAGAACCCAAGATAATCTGAAAATAACCCCACATTTATTGAATAACCAGTTCTAACTCTGAATTTGTTCCACCTAATGAAATAAATGCATTTACCAGATAGTATATTAACCCTTTCACACCTATGTAACTTCAGTAGACTCTACCATGCATTGATATGGACGAGTCCATTATGGTCTACAGTGGTGAAAGGGTTAATGATAGATGAACTTTGCGAGGTCAAAATTATGGTTATCATTATAGAAGTTTGGACAATACTCAGTGATATTTTTTGTGTGCGAGTCTTAATTGGTAATTTAGATTGGGACTGAACAGCTGGTTCTTAGTTATATGATAACCTTGCCTACAATTTTAACACCTACATCAGTAACAAGGATTTGTATACAAAGGAATTGATTTACTTGCTGTTTGCATTTGTAACCATATGACAAAGTGACTGCGGGAACAAGTGGTTCCTGGTGATGAATTGATGACTTCATTACTGAATGGTTGAACATGAGAATTCATGGTGTGAAAACAAACCAATCATTGAAGTATCACTTCCTTGTTTGTTTGTGCTGCATCATTGTAAATTGTAGGCTGTTCATTGTGTTTAGTTGATGTTATCTGTGTTATCATAGGAGTTAATGTTTTTATTTGATGCTGATTTTTTTTTCTTGGCCAGTGCAATTGATGTTCAACACAGACAATGTGGATTTTTTTTGTAAAAGCAGAAAACCTGCGTTTTCAATCATATTGCTTCCAGAGTGTTCAAAAATTATTTTCAGAATCAACAGTACTAGAAAGTTGGCATATTTTCAGATAGTGAAGTTGTTAATTTTATGGCAGAAAGACATGATTAAACCATAATATTTTTGTGTTGAAAATGAGCTTTACTTTTCATTGCACGGTCAGCAAGATGTATTTGACATGACACTCAAAGCCTGTGCATGTAATTTGATGCTATCACGATTGTGTGAATTAAATTTCCAGGGACCGGGGACTTATACCTAATTCCTTGGTAGAACATTGGACGATACAGCCATCAAGAGAGGCTCTCAGTGACTTCATAGTTCAGCAAACAAACAACAGTGACATGCTTTTGAATCTCCACGCAGCCCAGTAGCAGATCTCCATAATATATTTCACTGCCAGTATGAAAATAAACATATAAACTTTATTTATTTTACAACAATTATGGAACAAGTTATGTCAACTTAAATTAATCACTCGTGTGGCCTGTATGTTAGCACTGGGGGGGGGGGGGGGGGGTCTTAGTGTGGGAGGAAACCAGAGTATCCGGAGAAAACCCACTTGGTCGGGCAGGTGACCCCATACCTTTTTCACGTCCGATCGGGGAATCGAACCCTGGCTACCTTGCTGAAAGACAAGTGTGCTATCCACTGCACCACCCGACCACCCTAAAAATAAACTTGGCTGACATAAATAGCAATCAAAAGTAGTAAAATACCATTCAAAATTGTTTCTCCAAACTTGGCAAAAGTTCACCCCACACTCCATCCCAAGATATTGCAGTCTTACAGCCCTGTACTATGGTACTATTGTATTCTAGTGCCACAAGCCCTGTGCTACTGTATTCTGGTGCCATCATAAAATCAATTGTTCTAATTGAATTGTTCCCCAACAGGTCTGAACCTATACTTGGAGGTGATACAGGACGAAGTCACAGATCATGCAGATCGTTATCATTGGAGTTTCTGGATGTGGAAAGTAAGATACAAACTTTGTGTTTTCTACTTGCTGAAATGTTTTTTATTTTGTTCCTTGATGTTTAAAAGTTTAAAACCACTATTTGAAGTTTACTAATATTGTTTTCTGTTTCTCTTGATGGTGAAATTATCACAAGAGGAAATATAAGCTGAACTCCTTATTGTGTAATAAGGATGAAAAGTAAAATGACTGTTTTTATACATTATATCCTTTTGAAAAAAAATTAATGCAAGAAGTACCCTAAATTCTGTTTTATGACTACCAATAGTTCTGGAATTCTGGACAGGCTTGGAAACAAATAATCATGATACTATTCAGAGTACCAGCTGTTATAGAAATATAATGCATTTCAATGCGTTCATTGTTTGTCAAGAATTAGGTCAAGGTCATATGTCATAAGTTGTACCCAAAATGAAAAGCTCAGTTAAGTTTATGGCTTTGTTAAACCCTTTCCATATAATTTGTTGTCACTTTATAATGATTCAATAAAATTCAAAGTTTTAAGAAATTTCAGTATTTGACACCTTTTCATTTCCAGAACATCAGTTGGACAGGCACTGGCCAAGAAGGTAAGTTTGTTATATCTAACAAAACGGTCAAGGTTATCCTTGTATAACGTTCTTCAAAGCCCAAGTTTCTCTGGAAGTTTCATATTATTGGAATTATTCCGTCTTTGACCAAAGATCAAACATCAAGGTTGCAGAGTCATTTGTTTTGAAAACAAACCTTCAAATCAGGAGTTGGTCAGGTTATATCTAACATGGTTTAATCATTTTCTGGTAGGTGTAAATTTTGCACAATGTTTTCCTCGGTTTTGGCCTCCCAAGGGAGTGAGTTATATTACTGTCCCATGACTGATCAGATAAACCAAAGGCCTGAAAATTGTTATCGCTGCTCTGCTTGACAATTAGCTTTAAACAGGTATCAGGAATGAATGGTTTACCCACTGTCAGAGTGATGGATACTGTGCCGAGTGCCTTTGGCGTGGTATTTCAGCAATCTAAAGTTGACATCAGATCTCCGCTATCACAAGGAGGCAAATACACCGACATACCACATCCAGCACACAGGCATATATTACACACACAGAGGCACAGCCTTAAAAATTTACTTTAGCTGTTGATAGACCACTAAACCCAACAAACGAAACAAAAAGATTCTATAACTAAATCAATGCAAAATGGACATGAGTGAACTACGTATTGACATGCTGTGACAAATATATAAAGTAGCTTTATTGCCATTTATGTTGTATGATGAGTCATAAATCTTAGAATGCGAGACATTAATCTAGATACATTATTTCATATAGTCTAGTTATTTTCTTTTGCATTTCCTCCTGTATCAGTAAAATTCCATTCTGTTGTTTATCCAGTAATAAAACGACCCCCCCCCCCTCCCACTTCCAACCTCACTGCACTATATCTGAGGTATTGACAATTTAATGTCTCCGTTAGAATAACGAACCATCCCTATAAGTTTGTCAAATATAATTGGATATTGTAGGGTTAAGGTTCCATTGGATTTTAGTACTTCCTATATTTTCTGTTTCCCATAGAACAAATGTATTCAATTCTCATTTCAATTAATTATCCAAGTTTTCATATATTCCTTACCTCACACAAGAAAGCCCCAGTTGGATTTTGTAGGATTTTGTTTGTGCTCCAAACACCCCCATCCTGACCCCCCCCCCCCCGCCATGGAGGGGAAGCAGGGTGGGGTGGATCATTTAGTTGGGTGAGACAATGTGAACCCCC